TAAAATTAACTTATATTGATAAAAATGGACATCGGATTTGATTAACTTAATCGGCAATTAATCGCTCGCAGCGAAATTTTATATATTCATATCTTTTAATTTTTATTTTAATCTCGGTTTAACTTACTTTTCATTTTTTTTTTTTTAGTTTTTTAGTTTTTAGACAAATTAAACCGAGATTAAAATTAATTTATATTGATAAAAATGGACATTAATAATTGTATAACTTATCGTCCTGAATCTTTTTTTCCACAATTAAACACAAGAGATCGATAATAAATCAATTGCCGATTGAATTAATTGAATTATCGCCGAGATCATTCTAAAGGGTTAATCCCAGATGAAACGATCTTCGAATTAAAGGATCGGAGAGTGGCTAAAGCGCGATTTGTGCGAGGCGCGAAGTTGAGCGTACAAAAGCCACGTTTTTTTTTTCTTTTTTGTTTTTGTTAAGAGCGTAGTCGTAAGTATGTAAAACCTGAGCTTAATGTACTGTCTCTCTCTCTCTCTCTCTCTCTCTCTCTCTCCCTCTCTTTCTCTTTCTCGTAATGAAACTGTTTGTACTTTACTAGTTTATTAAACGCCCGTTTAGACTTACATCGTAGAAGAGAGTTGAGAGAACGGCATGTTTAACGCGCGTCCCCCTTCGGAGTCGGAGTTTTACTTTTCTGTTTTATCCTCGCTCCAATATAAATATCTATATATGAATATAAATATATGAATATGTATTACGCGTACGTGAATGTGTCAAGTAGCCGGAGACGCGTATCCACGTGCTTTCGCTTTGAGAGACATTTAGTAATTCTCGATAGATCGTTTTAAGGCGTTTGCGAGCGTGATGCTGTTCGAGCAAAATCTAGAATCAGCAAAGATGGTCATTCTCTTTCTCGTCCTATTATTATTTATTTTTTTTTTTTTTTATTCTTCCACTTTACGTTCGAATACTACGACGATTAGTAAATGTGTTTTACTCAAAGTGTCCTTCCTACGTAAATTTACTTGTTCGTTCTTATAAGCTAAATAAATGGTATCTCTTTCATGTTCACATGTTTGCATACGTATACATTTATTATGGCCAAACCCCTCCTTTCCCCGCCCCTCTCCCCCTAGCTTGTATAATTTGCGAAACTTTAGATAATTATTGAAATTTTTATTTTTGACATACGTCGCAATTCGCATTTATTTAGCAGATCGTTATAGGTGTCGTACAGCGAGATAAGTTATCACGCTTACTATATTCTGTCATCATTTACAATTCGTCAATCAAGATGCAATCAAAGAAATAGAGTAAGATTGACGGATAAGAACAACTCGATTATCACTGGTACGTATTCTCTTTCTCTAAGGTAACACAGCAGGTCTTGTGTAATTATAAAATTTAATATTAATATAAAATTCAAAAGCTATAAAATCATCAAATTTCTTGGTTAAACGAAAAATTATATTATTTAATTTTGATCAAATAAAAATTTATTATTTTGAAGAATCTATTTAGTATTAGAAAACTTAGTTATTTCTTCTAATTTGTATTGAGATGCGTGTATTGCCATTCCATATCCTGCATCCATTCTGAGAGCATTATACATCAGCACACATCGATCCAAAAAATATACTTCTTTTAAAGAAAACTTATATAAGGGTTCTTCAATAGAGCGACCCTATATGATTCTCACCACTTTATATCTCTCCTATTACAGAAGTCGGAAGCGTCTTCATCAGAGCGATTCTACATGATTTCTCTCATTGTATATCTCATATTCTTCAGGTAAATCATGGGCGCTATCTGGAATATGGGTGCTTCGATTTTTCCTTTCTTATTCATATTATCAATCCTTTTGGCACCCTTAGGAAAGGGCCTTCCTTTCCTAAAATAAATCAGATTAGGGACAGTACTAATTAAAATCTTAAGAATTACAATTCTAAGGATTTTGAATCTGAATGTTCTACGCAGCAGATTATATATTATATTTCAATTATAATAATTTACGTACATTGATTCACATGCCTACGATCATACGTCACAATATTTCAATATTATTTTTTGAGAGAATTAGATTTGCTAGAATCATCTTTGCATTATGAAGTAAACAAAGATACATTTCGTAATTTATTTAAACTTTATATAAAATGTACATTTGCCACATATGTAAAGAAATACTTGAAGTTGGCAGTAGAGGATTATAATTACTGAAAAAAATAGCGAAACCGTACGCGTACGTATAGTGACGTTGAGTCTACGAACATTTATATAATTTACTAAAGAAATACATTCCGAATCATGTACTGTCTAGACTGTAAACACGTATAAATGAACTTTCATTGGATCAAGTTTTGTCGTATCTGTCAATAAAATATAATTTTTACACCGAATCTTCAAAATTACATTCACTAATAAAATGATTCCATTATATCGATCTATATATCTATAGATTAAGATAAAAAATATAAACATATAAAAGACGGATTGTCAATTATTATATTATTATTATATCCAATGTTTCCTATTTTTTAAATATAAGCTATCATGACATACAAATAGAAGCACCGGATATTCTTTCAATAATTTATTAGGCTAATTTGAAAATAATTTTCTTCAAGAAAATTAATGAAGAAAATTAAATCGATTATTTTTTTCAATTTTTAATATCTTCATGTATTAAATTTTAAAAGGTCAATAAAAATGAAGCGTATTTGATAATTTCAATAGAAGAATATAATTTCACTCTTATCTTTAATGGTTAATACTTTAACAATTAATTATATTCCAATATTTTTGTTGTAATTATTTTCCAATATTTTATTGAATGCAAATTAAAAATAATGGCAAATTAAAAAAAATCTGTAATATAAAAAGGATGTAGTCTTGAGACTTTGCATATCATGATAGTGGGAGATGAATTAAATGGAGCATTCGCTCGAATGTGTCCATTTAAAAGGCATTAGAACACTTATGACGTTTAATATACATTACACAATATGTCGTTACGTGATATACGTCGTTACGTTGTCAATGGAATTGTAAAGCAACGAATTCTCACGCGTGTATTTAATTATCGAGCGACAATCGATCAATTAGCTGCCTACAGTATTACATATAAGTTCGCGGCACAGGGACTCCGGGGCGCATGTCTCCCTTCACACTCGCAAACTGATATAGGCCAATTATATTGTCTGCAAATAAGGCATTAGCAATATGCAGTGCAATATGTTGTCGATCTGCTAATCTTAATACAAGAATTAAGTAAACATCGCGCTTCTTTACAGTTTTTACACGATTGAAACCGTCGCGACTAACGTCGTTAATTTTAGCATTTCGAAAATGCTCAGTTAAAAAAGAAATGCATTCACTCGCACTTCGTTTACGAGATAGATCGCACTTTCTTTGTCAACTCTTATTATGCTACAACGTGGCCAAGATTGGCAGAGATTATTTTGTTATACACTTAACAATTACGTATACATATCCCATATAGTAATATTAACTATGGCAGTCTGTCAAAAAATACGCGTATTTATATAGCTAACAGACATTTGAATTATAAAGTGTCCAGTAGAGAGAGACACTTTAATATCCAATGACGCAGTATCGCAATCGTTAGAAAAAAATATATTGTACTGACCAATCTTGTTGGTTGTTTAATGTAGAGACTAAACGGCATCGCACGTTCACGTCAACATCCCAAATTGATGCGACGCGATAAAATACAATAAGAATTTCCTTAGACTCTATTACTACTACTTCATAGTATAAATATTATTATATTAATATTAATATTAATATTAATATTAATATTATAAATATTATTACATTATATTAATAATATTATTGGCTTTTGTACAAATTTCGTGGATTTGCATCAGTAATGTAATACAATTGTACGTAATTGCACGTGTAGCTAGAAAATGGACTTTCTGTTCGATCTTTATCGGAATAAATGCAGAACGCGCGTCGTTGAAGTTTTATTTAAAGATCTGTCAGACAGTTTTCAAAACTATCCTGTAACAGCATAACATCTTTGTTTTAAACATTAGATGAGACTATTATATGTTAGTTATTACTGCGCAAGATACACCATTTTCAAACTACTTTACACACGTACACTTACTAGTAGATTTATTCATTTTACACTCTCTATGTTATTAATGTTACTACGATACTTTCGAGGCAAAACGGATAGTATTTTCCTACGCAACGCAAGTAAAAAGGAAAAATAATATCCCAACAGCTTGTTCAATAAATTTCACAAATTCTTTATAGTTCTTGCAAGCAGGAAACATTATATAAAGTAACCAGCTTGTATACAAACGAACTCGACTACGCTATTCTTTTTTATCTAGCTGGAAGCTACAAATTGTTAATTGTTCTAATAAGTCCAAGATGTTAATCGAGATGTTATTTCCATCTCGGTTATATACTCTAGCGATACTTTATTATTAAAAATAAAAAAATAAGACATCAATTCATCTTAATGTCTCTTTTTTTTTAAATCGATGGGATATTATAAAAAACGGCAGTGCTTCATGATAAAGGCAAACTGTAGGATCGTAAGATCATCGAAAGAGAGCGTAATATTAATCGCGAAGTATTCGTACGGTGTAAATTGATATCATTGTCAATTATTTCGAGTTTGTGTTATGAAGTGCATGTAATGATTTTCGATGCTAAACATTTTGATATCACTATGTCTGCTGGAAATTTAATTTGTGGCGAAGAAATCCTTTTGATTAGAAATATTCATTTTAGGATAATAAATTTTTTATTCATTCATAATTCACGCCCTTTGATTTCATCAAAATCGCTCCGCTAGTGATGATTTATATATGAATAGTAAATAACAAATAATAATGACGAATTTCTAATGACGAATTTGCATATTCATACTATTCATAAGCCTCATACAAATAGCAAATCGCAAATCTCAAATTTATGAATACAAATCACGCATAGTCTAACGCTAGCCTGATGGCGCTTATTTGCTTCTCCTTTTCTTTAAATTTTGTAGTTCTGTATTCAGAAAGACGCGTTTCCTACAAGTACATAATCGTAATTTTAGTCTGTATAATCGCACATGTGTAACGGTAATGATAGATTGTACATCATGTCACGTGCATTTCGGTATATCCGTAACTCGCCGGTCTATGAATTTCGCTATTTCCAATTGTACAATTGGAAAAAATATATACTTCTTTCCAAGGGAACTATTAAGAAACTAATTGAGTTTAAAGCAAATCGGTGGTAATGACACCACGACTCACGGTCGCGGGATCATAGGACAGATTGGTGGAGTACCAAAAGTTGATGGCTCTGACTGGGAGGTAACACGTCCAGCTTTAGACCCGTCCTCGGCTTGCAGAAGCCACAGTAACCGCCGCATTTGCCGACGATTCGTTGATTACTCTAGATGATACGAAGAATGCATGCCAGAATCTTTATTTTAAGACATGGATTTCTTTGAAAGATCAATGATTATCCTAAAACGTAAAAATACTAATAACTTACAATTCTATTAATCGTGAGAAAAGCGCTTGAAGGTTCTTTAATCCAGGTAATCTCCGGTGACAATCCCAGGGCAGTACCTCTCAAATCAATGCTGAAACGTCCTTGCGGACATTCAGTGAGGCTGTAACAATCGCCAGCTTTACCATACTCCACGCGCTGCATTCCCTTTGTCCACGAAAACGTATAGTCGTTCGCTAAACAGAAAACATCAAACGTGCACAATTGCATATAAAAACTATAAAAAATTGAATACAATTATTTATAAGTCAAATGTTATGCTTACCTATAATGTAAAGTGTCGTAGGATTAATGCGTACCCTCTTAAACATTGTTCTACCAGACACTGTACCCAACTCGGACACGCAGTTGCAACTATCATTTCTCTGACCATTGAATGGACACGTGTGTGGGTTCCTTAATCTAATACATTGAAGTCAGAATATTATAGAATGCTAAACTTATTGGATCGTTAAAAAAATATAATATATAATGAGAAAATTATTTAAATTATGGAAATAAAATAACCTTTTGTCATAGATTTCCGCATAGTTCTCGCTGTCGCCGGCTGGCAAAGTCAAGTATTCCCGCGGCTCGGAGCTTGACATTTCATGACAATAAATCGACATATTTCTTCCACCAATTAACAATGGATATTCGCCATCCGTAGTAACCTTGAGTCGTTTCTGAATTTCGAGACAGGTGACTGACCCGCATCTTTTTTGATTGCACTTACGCTTTTTTTGTGGCCTGTATTCAACCGGGCAATAAGTCCGCGGTACTTTTTTCCCGGTAGTAGTATCGTGACAGTAAAGTCTACGGGTCTGCCGACCCTTGCGGCCACAAGGATGGCTACACTATAGAGATAAACAAGAAAAATAGATATAAAAGACATGCGAAAAAGTAAATAAATTGTTTAAATTTTATAATTATAATTATAAATTACAAATTTTTTCTTTTTCTTAAAATCTAATTTTTAATTTTTAAATTACGAGAAATTATAAAAAATTTTTTAATTACTTTTATGCAAAATTAATAAATTTTAATACAAGACGATTTTGATATTTAAAACTACTTATATTCTTTTTATAATTGTTATAATTGCTAATTAATATGCAATATTAAAAGTTAGAATTTTTCAGGAATATACTCACTTTTCTCCAAGCGCCAGCACTCCAATAATATTTATCGCTACACTCACGTAGCTTACAAGTCTGCTCACCATCCGGTCTTTGATCCATTGGACAACCTTCTGTTGGACTTGGATCGATCCATCCGTAACGATTTACTCGATGACAAGTAACTGCACGACGTTGTTTTCCTTCGCCGCATTCCGCCGAACACTTATGGAAAAATATGAATATTTAATTGATTATAATAAATATTTATAAGCCTTTCATTTTCATATTACATTTTTATTATGTTAAAAAGAAAGAAAACAAGCACGCAAGAATTATTGCAATATTTCTATTAATAATTGTAGTCTAAGTTTTGTTTCATAAATTTTATAAAGAAATGACTACTATAATAAATGTTATAATAAATATTGTAATGAAAGAATGTATTATTAGATAGAAAATTATCATGAATAATTATTAATTGTAAAAATTTTATTTGCCTCTTGGTGATTTTTATTCACAAATAAAATTACATGTATTCTATTCAATAGAATTTTTGTTTGTATTTGTATTTGTTAAGTTAATAAATTACTGATAGAATAATAATAAGATACATTCTTTCATCACATATATTAAAATTATATATTTTTTTTTGCTCAATTATAATACGAAATTATGCAATCAATTTGTAAATACATGCTCATACATAATCTGAAATAAAAATATGTATATGTATATATAATCCAGATCATTGTTATTTTATTAAAAGCCAGTACTCCAATAATTGTACGTTACTATGATGGCTACATAATACGACGCTTTACCTTCCCAGGATATTTTATATTAGTATTATGTGTGAATATTATAGATAATATTTTCTGAATCTGCTAGACAGAGTGTAAGTTACACATACATTAGTGATCAAATATCATTTGTGCTTATAAAGTGGAAAATACATTTGTATTTTTCAATAAATATAACATGAGGTTAATAACATGCATAAAAAAAGTCCATCGCTTGAAAAAAACGTTAAATGTTTCGCACGGACTTGACAACAATTCTGTGAGTTATCAAAGTCATGCATAGTTCATCGTAGAATCTAGAAACTCATTTTTTCTATATCAGGCACAATAAAATTAGTTATTTATGCTATCGCTGCAATAATCCTTATTTCTTCTTGCTTTATATACAAACAATCGCGTACGTGTAAAGCTCGATTTAGTTTTCACTTTTATTTTTATTCAAGATTATGAAACATTCGTAAACTTGCGCATAGCAAATATGATTGTAGCAATGCTGGCATAAGGTTGAGGTATAAGAATACCTCCGACCAGGAGCCTTCTTGCCAGATATAGTCACAGGAAACGCGGTGACATAATCTCTGCGATTTTGGTTTGCGCAATTTCATTCTCGAGCACTGCTCATCCTTAACGGGTACTTCCGGCCCATGGTTGCCTCTTCTCATTGTACATTCCACCCTTCGCGTCTGAATCCCGGTGCCGCATGATTTCGAGCACTGCAAAATATTTCGATTCCGTGCAAACTGGCCACTTCGTCATCACGATGAAAAAATTTAGCATTGGACATCATTGTCCATCTGGTACTGGCATGTTTGAATATCGATAAAACTCCGCCAAATCGTTTTATTATTGTTTTATTATACTTATAGTACATTGTAAAATAAAGTAGATCACACACAAAAGGCATTCCCCTTGAAATAATTCGTTTAACAATTTTCTTAAAACAATGTTCTATTCATCAATATTTTTAAAAGGCCTATATATTTATTTCTTTATCGATTCTTCACATAAAATTTCGACAAAATTTTAACTTAATTGCTACTTTCATATTTTTTTAGAAATTATAGAAAAACTTATAGCATTTGTTCGATATACATATATTGATTTGCTTTTTGGGTATTAAAAGATTAAAGTATGGAAAAAGACAATTTTATTAACAAGAAACGCATCATGCTTCATAGTTTTATATAATTTCATTAAATAATGAAATTTACTTACCGGAGTCCAGCTAGACATTCTCCATCTGCGAACGATGTTAAGTTCCAAATTATTCTCCCTGCTGATCTTGGGATGATTTCTGCAAGATTCTTTCTGACATCTTCGTACATGTTTTGGTCGTTCATCGCTACACTCCTTATCTGGCAAAATTTCGCCACGATGACTTTGACAGCGGACTTGACGATGCTGGAATCCATGTCCACATATCGCGTCACACTAAATCGTTAAATAATAAAAAATATCACTAGTTAGAGGAATCATTATATGTATATAATTTTTATTTTTGCGTAATATATATTCTGAAAACATGTATAATTTTTCATTATATTTAATTTTATGTAAGAATACCAAAATCTTCATATAATAGATATTAATTTTATAGAACAAAATATGTTTCAATACCTCGCTCCAAGCGCCGGTATTCCAAGTCGGGCATGGATGACGATTGCATGTGATTCTGATTATCGGTTTAGAGTCGCAATAATAATCAGGTACAACCATTTCAGTTTCCGAAGATATACACCTCACTATTCTGCTTTTATATCCAATATTGCATTTCCGCGAGCACTAGATATGAATAATGACATATTATATAGATTTACATTATCATTAATAATGTAAATCTAAAACTTGCAAAAACTCTCTAAATTGTACGAATATATATAAATATATTAAATACAATTAATAAGCCTACCTCTCCGTAAGATCCTATATGCCATTTGTAACCCGAATGGAACGTAATACCGTTATTGTCAATTTCATTTTCTTGTGGGAACGGATCTTCACGCGGACGATTTGTTGAATACGTGATCGGTGGCAAGTTCACCTAAAAGAAAAAGACAATTCTTTTATAAATATCACATTATAGAAAACGGAAGAAAAATAATCACAATAATGTTTTCTTCTATCAATAAATAAATAAATATAATGTAGACAACTTACGATATTAAGACATGGTTTTAGTGTGCAAGTCATCGAAGTATCCGGTTTTTCGGAATTGGGACACTCGTTACTTGTTGTACCATCTGCATTTTGACAAACAACTTTTCGTCGCGACGTTCCCTCGCCACATGTCACCGAACACTATACAATAAGAAATTAGAATAAGAAATTAGATTCAACTGTCTTAAAGGCAAAATACAAAGTAAACTTGTCAAATATACTGTACCGGACTCCAATCGCCAGCATGCCACTGATAACAAGGACCAACATTGCAGACTTCCGTCGTTACAATTGGCATCTCGCTACAGAAAGTGCGTGATATTACGCGATTCTCTACATGGCACCAGGAAGCTCTATGTCGTTTTCCCACACCACAGGTCACAGAACACTAACATTTTATTGCAACATGTATGTTTTATATTAATCTATTATTATTCACAAACATCTAATATCAGACATGTAAAGCATGACAAGTTAATATCTCATTGTTAGAAAATCTGATCTTAAGGAAAAAATGCTTAAAAATATATCTTTCATTTTATCTAGCATACTAAAATATTTCTCTATAATACCATAATAATTAAGATTTTAATGTGTCAAGCTTTATGTCTCATGTCCTATCTTACCGGACCCCATTCTCCCAGATCCCATTTCGGACAAGCTTCTTGATTGCATATCCTCTTGAGATGCTTCTCCTGTCTGGCGCAATTCTCTTCTCGCACCTGCCTCTCATTTGAATCAATGCATATCGCGCTTCTCAATTGCACACCACCGCCACATGAGACACTGCAAGCATTCCATTCGCTGTAACTCCAATGAGCATCATCACAAGGACCTACGCATGACTGATGCTCGCTCGGTTTTTCGATGTGCAGGCATGCGTGCGCCGGTATCGGCCGTGGAGGATGCGACGAATCTAACAAAATTTGAACGCATCGCGAGGTGATGGTTTGCACGCCCGGACCGCAGTGATTCGAGCATTCAGATATGGAAGTCATCTGCCACCTGAAAGCGATTCAGATAAATTTAGCGATTAATCATCGTGTATGAAATACCATGTAAATTTCAGCTACAGTAGACGCATAAAATCGTATACATTCCATACATACTTTTATCTCATAAATTTTTAATAACATATTATCGATTCTACATTTTCATATGCATTACTTACTGTAGAGTACAATGCTCGTTGCACATCTGACTTTCCTCTTGTGGTTTTTCCTCGGCTCTACAATAAGCATCGGGCACCGTATCTTTGTGTTCGGTGCTTTTACATTCCGCCTTACGATATTTCATACCCTGACACATTCGGTTGCAGGTCGACCAATCGTTGAGTAGCCAAGTATAGCTGTTCAGGATTTTCTTCGGTACAGTGTACTCGTACGTAATTTGCGGAGGATAGACGTTCTCTACGGACAATACCTGGAATTCCGTATTCTTAGCTGAGCGGAGTTGCATCGTCGCGGAAACTACTTTTAGCCAAATGACGCAATTGTAAACGATGAACTTGCCTCCAAAATTAAATCGATAGTGATAGGCCGAGAACTGTTTAGTCGTTCCACCACTGATTCTGGTCCGCTATATTCGATAGTGACGTCTGGATGCACAATTACCTTGCGGTGCATTACCATAAAGTTCCCATTCAGGATGTATTCACCATTTTCTCCAATTCGCAGTGCTGCATAACAATAATTGTTTCGCTAATAAATCAATTGAAACCTTTTCAGAAATCAATATAATAAAAAGATTTTCACGGAAAAATTAAAATAGTTTACATTGCATTTGGCACAAAATAAAACTAAATATCTTTTTATTGTTATATAACATTGATCTTAATCCTTCAGATGTAATGTTTCCATGTTAATTAAAAAATTTATCAAAGACAAAGCAGAAAAATCTTACCGAGATAATTACTATCGTTATGAGAGCCCAGCCATCCGTATTGTTTAATATCGATGTAGCTGCTGCCGGCAGGTATTTTAGCTACCCTCGTGTAACCGTATACGCTGGTGTTGTAGGCGCCCGCAATCCTCTGACAAGTAGAATTGTCACCACTGCAAACCCCGCAGGTATCGAGTTCGGCCGTTGAATTCAAGACATGATCGCATCCAGCGGGCTTACACTGACCATTGACGCATATGTGATAAGTGTCGGGGCCGCAGGGTGTCCCGTCGATGACTTTATCACGTAACATGTAATATTGATTGCTTTCCACTTGGCAGTATAATTTGCAACGATCTTGTGGCAGTACTATAAAAGAAAGTTTAAAAAAATCGAATTAACTCCATTTCATAAATTAAAAAGATGAATTAAGAATATATAAATCATCACCTACTTCTAGTATATTTTGCATGCCATTTAACATCTCTAGCAAGATTCTGAATGTTAAAGTTATTGTTGTCGAATTTCGAGCATTGTTGTTCTCTGTGAAAAAAGAAAGAAAAAAGAATTAGAATGCTAAAATATAAAATAATTGCGATTAACACGTTTCAGATCATGAAGCAACTACACTTTTATCAGTTGTTTTGTTTTTAGAAACGTTAATTAATCGATCGATCTTTGCTTTTGTAGATTTATGACTTCATCATATACAATATTAGCACACACCTAAAGTCAGGACTGCCTGGCGGGCATTCTCTGGTGCCGCAACTGCGATATTTGACGCGCTCGCCGATACAATAATTGCCGCCGTTCTTCGGCGCCGGATTGTCGCATTCCCGATACTTCCTCTTAATGCCGCCGCCGCAGCTCCGCGAGCATTCGCCGTATCTTCCCCATTCGCCCCATTGACCGTCTACCGGCTCGAGATTCCTGCGCGAGACGCACTCGCCGCGATGACACCACTTATCGGTACCGCAGGATGTGCCGTCGGCCCAGGGCATGTGTTGAGTGTGACATTGCTGATGATGATCCCACAGTGGCGCGGTGCACCATAGTCTCCTACACACTGCCTGGCCGGTAACCAACCAAGCCCCCAATTTACTTCAATTCTTAAGCGAATTTCATCGTAATAGACGTTACGTTAAGTAGAGGAGGCAAAGAATGTGCCCTGACAGAAAATATCTTGAATTGTTGAATCGAACAAGAAATCGCAAATTTGTATAGCAATCACAGCTGAATGAAAATAAAATAAGCGAGAAAATGATATGTATTTTATTCGAGATACGATCACGCAAGATGTCTCAATCAGACGCGTGAAGAGAACGTTTTCGACTTACCATCACTCACCATGTGAGGACAGATTCTGGATCCTTGCCCAAAGACGAGCTCGCACTGTTTGTTCTCTGAATAATCTTCGCCGGGTAACCGACCATCTTGTCTCTCCATCACTTTGCTGGGTTCGTCCAGCAAACAGTTGGCGTAACCAGCTCTGAAACAAAAGTCATACTAATTAACATAGATTGTCCGTGAACAAGCAACCTATTTTAAAGAGCTCGTTCACCTAAATAGCTTTCGAAGATTATATTTCTTGTGACAACTAATGAGTATATAACAGTCGCTTAGAAGTTCGTTAAACCGGATTTCTAAGCGATGACTCGTTCTAGTCCCTTGGGTGTCACAGAAAAAACTCGAGACATTACCTTTTTTGATCGAAATAAATTTGTCTGGCCGATATTTGTTTCCTGGAAATCGGCACGATTGACGCAGACGGTTTATTCTCGGCTTTTCTATTCGTGCTTGAATCGTGACTCAAAATGTAATTTTAGAGTGCATTAAATTTAATGCAAAAATGACATTTAATTAAGAGCAACCGACATAATTAAGTTATTCTAATAGGAAGAACACAGCAAAGGCAAACCTATTTAATCCAATTAAATCTATTTAAGCATAATATATGTGTTATTAACTTGAAGCAACACATATGAAATGTCTCTTGCTAAGTATAGACTTTATTTTGATCATGTTTTAAAGAATATAATGAAACTTTCAAATTAAATACGATTATTTGAAAAATATTTGAAATATTTAAAAAGTTTAAATACTGAAAAATAGAAAATTGTTATTGAAAATTGATTTAATAAATCTTTTGTCTCAGAGATAGGACATTGGCCAATGACCATTAATGGGTTAAAGATCCCGCGAGCTACATCGCTATGAACAGAAAGGCAAATCAACGCGAGTACAACAGACAAAACCTGACATCGCATTGCGTATTGTATTAAGCGGAGGTCATGAGTCAATTAATAACGATCTCTTTCCAGAATGCTTCTCGGCACATCGTTTATAACCGAGTCATTTGCCAATTAATGACTGACTCACTCGAGAAATTCGGTGACATAGTGTCGGGAACACTTGGACCACTCCCAGGGAAAAGTATTATCATCCAGCATGCGCGACATGACGTTGTGCACACCCGAACGGTTTCTAAAGCCCGCACACTTGGCGTCGTCGTCGTGTGGCATGTTAAGTCTGTAATACATTATAGATATTTCCTCTGAGTGACATGAATATGCAAAGAAAAATAATAATATTAGATTTGATAAAGAAAAGGAAAGAGAAAGGATAATTAGAATTTCAAATATCAAGAGATGCAATAACATCTTACGGTAAATGCATATACAATAATTTCACAAAGAAAATACGATGTGACTCTCAGGAAGAAAGATTTAGAGCATCTCATTACATAAATAATGTAATACATAAGATTTAAGAGACTGCACAATAAACAGGTCGCACGCATTACGACCGATAATATACTTACACGTGACCAATCTCGTGTGCGATGGTAAACGCCGCGGCCAATCCATTATCCTGCACGATAGCGCACGAAGATCCAGGCGAGCACATTCTACCCAGTTCGGCCAAGCCCAAAGTATCGCAACGCTTTTGACGCGGATTGTGACATAGATTTTCTCTGAAAATTCATTTTCAATTTATACATATTGTTCTTTAAATTTTTAAACAATTCAATTGAATTGAAAATTATCCATATAAAAAAATATCAAAAAAACATTATTGACATTTATTTGATATTCATAGTTAATCTTGATAATTATGTTTGATTTGTGCTTAAATTTATAAAATTAATAAAATTAACAAAATTAATAAAATTATAAAGTTACACAAAGCACAAATAATTTATCTTAATAAAAAACCTACTTTAATTTCAATCACTTATAACTATTGTTACTTTACATAAAACAATTCAAGTTTTACAGCAAGTTTCGTGTAATAATATTAATTTTCGCGATGTTGATTTTTTCGGTACAAACCTAGTTAACAGAAGTGCAGCGTCGTGATGTTCTGGAGAAGGTTCGTCCGGATTATTGCGTTTCTGCCACTGGCAGAATCGCTTCAACATTTCGGCCGCCGCGATTCCGTCGCTTCCGCTATGTTTAACTCCAAATACTTCCTCAGTCTTGACGATCTTCATAACTGCTATGCTCACCGGATTGCCGATGGACTGGTCCTTGTAGATCCGTGAAACCTATCCTTCCAGAACAGAAATATATCAGGTAATTTAATTGTAACAAATTAGTTGTAAGTTCTTTTTTGTTTTGTTCTACGTTTTCTGCTCGAGTAAAGGCTTAATTCATGTATACGTCCGATCTATTCTGGGACACCGTGTGGACAAAGAATCTATGTCGCTCTTTTGTCTAGGTCCTCATTCATTCATAAAGAATTCATGAATCTTAAAGTCGATCGATTATTGTTGGGGAACGCGATTGAATCATCGAACGAACGACAGGCGTGGGTTCGTGAAAGCGAACTCGTCGCAGGATGTTGCCTCCTCCCCTCCCCCCCCCCCGGTAACGGTGTGGCCTTCGCGTGGGATACATAACTGGCGTAGCGCACTCGGTAATGACCGTCGTGACGAAGCTAATTGTCGAATTACATCGAATCAACATCTTTCATCTCCTTCCTCTTCCTTTTTCTGCCATGCCGTGTTTTTATTCTTTTTTATGCCGTGTTTTTTTTTTTATTTATGTCTTCGTTTTTAAGATAAACAGAGACGTGAGATTAAATATTTTCAAATTAAGCCTGAAAAGAATATATACCCACCGTGCTCATCAAGACAAGAATGTAACTGACCAAGCCGATGCCGTGGTACTCTACCATTTTTGCATCAGCCACCACCATGATCTCGATGAAATATTCACGCGGTAAGGCACGCCGCGGTCTCCACGTCACGAAGGGATCCGAGTTCATCTCCGAGTCCTGTGCGTACTCTTCGTTCCGATAGCCACGTTCACGTTCCACGCTGTAATATCTGAAATTCACAAAACTGACTTAAAAAGCACTCCAAAATACGCAAAAAATATTGTTTCTTAAAGAAATTGGAGTTAACTTAATATTTTAATAATTAAATTTTATTTTATCAAATTCTATCAAATTAAAATCCGCTTTACATTGTACAATAAATAACACATTATTATTTATATATTACATTTAAAGTTTTCTCAATAATTTATTATTCAAAAAGCGTCTCTCCAAGCATTAAAAAAAAAAATAAAAAAGAAACAATCCAACATCAATAAGATGTCTTGTCGAATATTAATATGGTAAATATTTAAGATCACTCAAAAAGTTTCACTCAAAAATCGTCGGAAGATTAAAAAAAATATACGTATATATATATATTTCATTTAAATCTATATATAAAATTTATATACAAAATTATACATTTATATTATTTGCCTTTACCTATCGTTATAATCCATTCTCTGAAAAAAGTCTCGATGATGCTCGCTCTGCCCTGTGAACTGTGCGTATTCTTCCTCTTCTTTTTCTCTAAGAAACCTCTCCGACGATGCGGTTTTCCGCGTCAATGATCTACGCTCCCGCGAACGCTCCTCGACGTGGATTTTACGAGCGGAACTATCGTCGGTTAATGGGGAAGGAACGTCGTCCGAGTCGTAATCTGTGAGCATCGACAAAGCCAATTATAATCAAACTAATTAATTTAATATCCAATGGGAGTATTCGCAAGGATATCGCCCGCTGCAATCAGCAATTGAATCGTATCGTTGCGGACGTACACATCCGGGATCGGCGTTATTTGAAACAAGACCACGGTCGCAATAACGATAGATGTGTAAAGAAACGAGAAAATTTCGACATCGACATGTAGTATCAATGTGTCGTTTTGTGAGTAGAGCACGCGCGTCGCCAAGCTGTCTCGATGGTACATCAGAATCCGCCCGAGGGAAGACGTAAATGCCTGAACCTGTTTTGGTACAGGTGGTCGTGCGAGTATGCGTTGAGTGAAAAAAGACGCGACGCTTTTTCTTCGAAACTTCATGAAGCACGTGAACATTTCATATTGAAATAATTGTGGATATTGCGAGATTCGACACAGTAAAATAAATAAATGTTTCTTGATTTATCCTCGTTACCGATGACAAGGGAGCGCAACCGATTAATAATTAATATACTTTATATTTGTAATATTTTTATATCAATTTTTATATCTTTCCTTAATATATTTCTGAATATATAAAATACATCAATATAATTTTAATGCCGATACGTGTTAAATTTCAAATATAATAAAGAAATAATGATGATGAATAATTATTAATCCGTTAAAAGGGAATAAAATAAATTTGTTTTAATCAAATCGAGAGAGACGTCAAGATTATCTTTATTAATTTCTATTAATTTCTATGTTAATCAAATATTGAAAATGTGCTTGTTCATATCTTTCGATAGCCACCGTTGGAACGAATTCGTCGACTTGCTTTTATTTTCTTCTGCATTCTTTCGACTCATTTCCTCGCGCGGAATGACCCCCTTTTCTTGGCAGTATCATTAACGAATCACCCCGCATACCGAACGGATGACGAGAATATCGTAGATAAAATCGGGATACCTGGAATGATACCTTGTTTTTTTTTTATTTACCTATCACGCCGCAGTTGCGACTTTTAACTCCATTTTCAGGAGTGTTGGAGTCATCGTCCAAGTTGATCGCAACCGTGGGTACGCGGTAAATCGCGTGCTGTAATGAAGAACCAAGGGAATCCTTATCGCCCTCGCGCCAATGTTCCGTGGGTTTAATGAAGTAGCTACCCATCGACGTCTTCATGTGACCGGTCTGAAAAGATCATGATAGAATTTACAAAAAGGAATAATATATAAAATCCAGTAATACACGGCAGTTCGGCATTATTTGAAATTAAAAATTGTCAAGTTTGTTCATTTATTAAATAAGTATCTTCTTGCGTTGTATCTCCATATCTATGTAGCTTCATGTATAACACTTCATGTACACTTTACATTTCTGAGAAAATTGATTTTTTTCGGCTCGGTAAATTGCAAAGAACTTGTGTCAAGAACCTCTGACTCGAATAAACCATTTCTCGGCAATTAAACGGAATTAAAATTATTTATAAACGTATAACTATATAATCGACCGGATTATTGCACATTGTACGTTTACGTAAAATAAGAGAAGATTCGGTTTGCGTTTATTTTAAGTAGCAGCGACTTATACAGATGCTATTAGAAGAGCGTTATTTACAAACGGAGCGCCACCCGTTGTTATCCTATCCGCCAACTACGATACGTTAACTTCCTTGATTAAACATTCTAACGGAGATGAACTCTCTCATCTATTTATTTTTTCGGAATACTCTCGGAAGGCTCTCGGCGGGCTCGCGCACGTGCGGCGCGAGAGAGAAACGTGCAGGCCTCACCTATTTCAAATACTTGTGACTTATAGCGCGTGAGTTTTATAATAGTTACATTATCAAAGATTTCGAACAACTAATTCGATGCTATACAAATTCCGATGCTGGAGCCATATGAGAACAGGAGACATTTGCTTTTCGATGTGTGAGTGATTTGATATTACATAACGAGATTTCCTGCTAGACGACTGAAGACGATAAAATTAAGTACAGGGCGGCTAATTAGCATACAAATAGCGCTAAATTTCTCGAGCTCCGGTGCGAATCTCTTGATAAAAGTGGGACCGATACAACGATGGGATGAAAATTTATTTTATTACATCAGATTCTGACGTGAGCGAAAAAATCCGAGAAGCTGTAGATAGCACGAAACTTTTTTAATACAAATTCCAGATTTATCTAATAAAACAAGAAAGAGAACCGTTCGCCGTGCTGAATTGCTCATTTTGTCGCAGCGTGCAACGGCCGTGTAGATAACGTGAATGAAAGTTTACGTGACACTAGCTGCAACCATCGACCGTATAAGCGACGCGGCTCGTACGCTCCGCTCGATTCGCTTGTGTTTGCGATTTGCATTCTTGCAGACATGCGCCTTCTCTATTCCGCGGCACAAAGACTGACTTGAGGATTACCGAGAACTCTTGGCAGGAACGTCGTTTTTCTCCCTCTTTCATCTCTTTTTCTTCATCTCTTTCCGTCTCTATCTTACCCTTTCTCTCGCCCATCTCCCTTTTTGCCTTTTCGATCGGCCAACACAGCCGCGGCTCGGTAACGACCTCGCGATTATCCGCTGAGGCAATTCATCGACCTTTCGACGAGTAGAGCTGATTCAACGTGCCCATCACGTCATTCAGTGAAAATGCCAGGCTCATTAATGCGAAATTAATAATGCGAAACTCCAAAAATACAACCGCCACCATTTATCCAGTAGATTAGTAGTATTCAGTAGTATTCAGAACGGCGTTTACATTTTTTTTTTTGTTGTCAATTGCTTTAAATATCTTCATTTTCTTTGATGATACAACATATCTGCAAGAAATTAGAGAAAGATAAGAAGAAGGAATTCACTGTGACTCACTTTTTATGAATACACCTGGAGCGAAGGAAGTGGAAATAAAAGAATTGAATAAATTAGTTACTAATTTTTCAAATATTTTCCTGCGGTTACCCTCGCCGGTCGCGAGAGGAAGCAATCATCGGATCACGAACAAGCATACTTCGTACTGCAACGGCAGGCCATAAAAAACGTTGACCGCATCCTATATCCTTCCCTACGGTCGCACGCGTCCATTTCCAAACGCGTGCATTCTGTTTGCGTATTGCCGATTGTTTTGACTCGACGTCGTCTCCATGCCAGAGTCAGTGTTTATGCTAAAACATCAAAAACCGTGTCGCGACGACAGAGTTAAAAAAACAGCGCTATCGGCCAATAATACTGGGAAAAATGGTCCGAGAGAACCGTATTACCGGGAAGAAAAAATATGCGAGACACCACGTGTGCATAACAACGTTTCACCGTGCAGAGTCGGCCGGCTTAAATTATAAAGGCGGTTAGGGTACCAGGCCAGGCCAGAGTTATCTTTATTTAGGTTCCGCTTAATACGCGGGGCATAATACATCATAATAAAAGATGCCTGGCTCTGTAACGTGCCTTGCGCGCCCTGAGTATGAGCGGAGACAATAATAGACTGCAGTAATTTGATACAAGGTGCCCAAATATTTGAATATTAAGTATAGATTTCTTGAAAAATTCTTCGAGGGGAAGCGGACAATTCCTTCTAGTTCTACGAAAGAGAAAGAATCTTTCTTAATAAAATGTAAAGAATAATTAATATTTTATCTAAATTGAATCATTATTTTGACTAGAGACTAGCTACATTATAATTAAATACGAGCATAAAGTTTCATAAAATTAAAAGCATCGATAATATAGTAATATAAGCATGATAAATGTTCATATTATTTTCATTCTTATTAAAATACGTGATCACTTTCAACATGATTAATTCCGTCACGGGTTCTTTAAACTTTTAACTTTACATTCACTTTTGATATCTGAAAAAACGTTTGTCTTATCTTAACTAATCTTTTATCTGAACTAAAATAGAAACAGAGAATCAAGAAAAGAAACTTTTTAGATGAAAAACATCGCACGTTAAATTAAATGAATAAATTATTGATTAATTACATGTCGCTTGTGTATCACTTCGTCGTTATATGAACACAAATTTAACATTTCTGCAATTTGTCTTTTGTGATGAGGCGATCCTCGTTAAGACGGCCGCACAAAATGTCATCACAGACAAAATATCTCCAATTAATTCCGCCTATTATATTACACATTTCTGTCAAGGTCGTCAGGTCGATCCAAAACTGGTCGTACCGGCTCGAGTAGAACTTGCGGATTTGCGTTCTTATGAATGCCGTTTCACGCCAAAAAATCAATATTGTGTTCTTTTCTTAGCAAATCAGGTGTTTCAAGCGTTGTAACATTTTTAGCAATTTAAGAAATTGTTCATAATTATAATTTAATTACAATTTTCAATTGAACACAATTGTATTATGTAGAAATTTTTCATAAAATGTTGAAAAATGTAAAAAGTCTCTATAATATGCAAAATAATAACAGAATGTATCAAGTAGCAATACTCGACAAACAGGATCTTAGGTACTTAATAATCTCTTTTTTTAATTAGCGACATCATTATCTTGAATTTATACATATGTGTGTGTGTGTGTGTGTGTGTGTGTGTGTGTGTGTGTGTGTATAAATAAAAAAAAATTAAAAAGAGATTATTAGCCTAAGGTCTTACCTACTGATGAATATTGCCACTTGTTACACTGTCATTAAACATATTTTCTTGTTACATTGAATTGTTTATAAATTATATATACAAAATAATTGTAAAAAGGCGTTATGCGCTATGTACAATAATAAATCTTTTATTTCTACAAAATGAAAACATTAGATTTTGTTTGATATTCTCAATAAAATTTTTTTTAATCTATTATAAATGATGAATCTGTGGTTTGAATAAGATTATAGAAAAATGTACGGATTCGATTATAATATAAAAAACAAACTTTGGCATAATCATATTAAAATAATATAAAATGAGTTCTTCTTTTTGTTAAAATCTAGCCGTAAAAGACCGAGAAAATTGATTCTCGTTCTGATGTATCAAATATAATTTCGTGTTAAGTACTCATCCGCAAGCCTTTCCCGTATTCATTAGAATGAGATACGAGACCGTTAACATCGTCCCATCCGTTATCGCGATCGCCTCGCCAGCAGAATCCCGTACGATTTGTGATAGAGAGCTCGAGTGCCCGAGTCCTCCTAACAGCGCAATCTGTTATTATGACCATTCGTGACTGAGATTTAAACAAATAAAAAGATACACGATGATTACTGTGCCGCTGATACTGAAATTATCTTGGACTCTTCGCCACGCGCGCGCGTCGGTTCTTGACAGTCGTATATCATACGTGTCGAAAGGCACATTAAATCGATACATTACGTGCACCAATACGTTTATGTAAGATTCATCGAAACTATATCGGTCATTCTTATCGCTACAGATTCTCTTTGCGTCAATTGAAGACGATCTTTTTCCCAAGAAAATCAATGCGCGTAGAAAAATGAACGCTTGGAGTTATGGCATTTCTGGCCAATAGAACATAAAACAAAAAAACAAAATAACTTGTAATTTTGGAAGATCAAAGTATTGAAGGCAGTAAAGAGAATTAGCGGATATCGGAAAATGATGAGGAGAGCGAATGATCGAGATAGCGACCGAGATTCACTCCTCTCTCGCGAGCAGGGTCGAATAATTAGGTCGAGTGCTCGGCTCACTATCGAAGAAGAGTGAAGACATCAAGACTCAGTTCAACCGGGAGCTTACTTCCTCCTATTTCTATGTCTGAAACAGACGGTCGATTGATCAGTCTAACCTTGCCATGGCTAAATTAAAGCGTGATCCAAATCGCTACGAAGAACGTTAAACAAGCGAGGAATATGTTCTCCTATTCCATTCTCGCTCTGCCCACTTTTTTTCCCAGGAAGAAAACCCAAGTTATGAAAAGAATCGCGGGGAAGATCCCAGAAGCAGAGAAGGGTCGGCAAGACCTCTAACGCAGTTGCTGACGTTTGCAAATATGTGTGTTACTAATGGTTCTTCCTATAAAAGTCGCTTTGATTCCCTTTTGATCGAAATAGCTTCCTCTGTCTATCCAAGAACGAAACATCACAGTCGTGGCAATCAATCTTATATACCGTATCGTCCTAAAAAAAAAAAATGTGACAGAGGATTTTTATGCATCTTAATGAATCTTGATGCATCCTAATGAATTTCTTGTTCGATCCTGCATGAAATAATCGAAAGAAACGATCTTTGACGAAAACTCTAAACTGTTTCACGATGGATTTGACATAAGGAACGATAAAAAAAAGTCAAAGGGTACCTTCAATCGACGACTCACAATGGTAACTGTGACGGTAAAAAAACTTCAGAGAATGCCTATATCAAAGTTAATTTATTCAACGGATTGTTTCGCAGAAGAATCGATTGAGAGACATCAGCTAGAATTTCCGCGCGCGAAAATGTGCCTGTCATTTCCTCGATATTTCCGCAAAAAAAATTCCGCGATTCCCTCGCAGTCGCATGGGGTATTGCGGCAAACGCGACGTCCACCGTCATGATGTATGAGCCGTCTCGAGCAATAAATTCGCTCGTAGAGCGTCGCAAATAATTCTCGGTCTCTCTAACACCTCTTGATATAAAATCCAATCGTATCGTGGTCTACGTTCCCATGGTGCCGTGGATGACCGGCCGCGCATTCCCGCTGAATGGCTCATGAGTCGCGCGACTCAAACGATCCCGAGGTGTTTGATATACGATCGAGTCGTCGTATCTTTTTTCTTTCTTGGGCTTTCGGGCAGAGGCGCAGCCAGACGATTCCGCCGAATGCGATGTGTGCGGCACGTGTAATCCAACAAATCACGTAAAATGTGTACCATCCCGCGCGGCATACGGCGACTAATGCCTACGGTTCTATGCGGGCCTTGAACCTATTTTTTGCGTGCAACTATTTTCAGACATCCTCGCGTATGTACCATAAAATGTACGTGTCTCTCTCTCTCTCTCTCT